GGGTTTTGGAAGGATGTTGGCGCTGTCGCCCTTCCAGGTGTCTGACCGACCACGACGGTCCAAGAGGCCCCCGAGATAGCCCCAAGACGGCCCAGGAGGCTCCCAAGAGGGCCCCCAGACAGCCCAAGAGGGCCCCGAAACGGAATAAGAAGCCACCAAGACGTCCCAAGACGGCCCCAAGAGGTGATACAGAGGGGTAGCGCGAATCGACATGTCGAGAGCCCCCGCCCCACGATGACCCAGAGACCGCCAGCAGGCCTCCAAGCGACCCACAGAAACCCCCGAAGGCCCCCAAGAAGCCCAAATCAAGTCCCAAGGAGCGCTCCAAGAGACACCATCTCAGAGGCCCCCAGGACACCTCAAGACCGCCTCCAAGAGACTCCCGAGAGGCCTTCCAAGAGATCCCCACAGGCATCCAAGAGGCCGCTGTCCTCCAACAATAGCATGTGGCGGGATGGGCCGAAGGCCTCTCTCTCTCTCTCTCTCCCTCTCTTTCTCTTTCTAGATCGCAATGTTAAACGTTCATGCATGCCGCTCTCGCTCTCTATCTCTATCTCTATCTCTCCCTCTCTGCATCTTCAGCTCTCTCTCTCTCTCTGCAATTACACACATATATACAGCATAATTGATGATCCATGAATGTGTGCGTATGATTACGAACTTGTGTTACACATGTATGTTTTGTTTACATCCCGCCAGTCTGTGGCTATCCCGCCGGTCCCCCACCAAGAAGTGCAGGCTGATGGCTGTAAGCGGCAGCGCACCTGGATATTCCAAACGGCGATGGTGAAGAAGGCGATAAAGAACACGTACGCCAGCTGCGCCCACCACGTTGCGCCACTGAGCGCCGAGAAGGCTTCGGACCAGTCTCTGCCGCCAGTAGTGGTCTGAAAGAGTATCATCTGGGGGCGGGGCCAGAATCTCTCCCCGGCGCTCCTCCTCCTCCTCCTCCTCCTCTTCCTCCTCCTCCACCTCCTCCCCCTCCTCCTCCTCCTCCTCCTCCTCCTCCTCCTCCTCCTCCTCCTCCTCCTTGTCCTCCTCCTCCTCCTCCTCCTCCTCCTCCCTCCTCCTCCTCCTCCTCCTCCTCCTCCTCCTCCTCTCCCCCTCCTCCTCCTCCGCCTCCTCTCCTCCTCCTCCTCTCCTCCTCCTGCTCCTCCTCCTCTTCCCCTCCTCCTCCTCCTCCTCCTCCTCCTCCTCCTCCCTCCTCCTCCCTCCTTCTCCTCTCCTCCACCACCTCCTCCCCCCCCCCTCCTCCCCCCCTTGTCCTCCTCCTCCTCCTCTCCTCCTTGTCCTCCTCCTCCTCCTACTCCCCTCCTCCTCCTCTGCTCTCCCTCCTCCTCCTCCTCCTTCCTCCTCCCCTCCCCTCCTCCTCCTCCTCCTCCTCCTCCTCCTCCTCCTCCTGCTCCTCCTCCTCCACCTCCTCCCCCTTCTTCTCCTCCTCCTCCTCCTCCCTCCTCCTCATCCTCCTCCTCCTCCTCGTCCTCCTCCTCCTCCTCCTGCTCCTCCTCCTCCTCTTCCCCCCTCCTCCTCCTCCTCCTCCTCCTCCCTCCTCCTCCTCCTCCTCCTCCTCCTCCTCCTCCTGCTCCTCCTCCTGATCCTGCTCCTCCTCCTCCTCCTCCTCCTGCCCCTCCTCTCGGGCAGGGGCAGAGGCGAAGAACAGAGGATCCCAGGCCCCTCAAGACAGCGGAATGCTTCCGATCGCGGCTCGGTGGTGCTCGACGAGGATGCCCGAGGATACGCCGCCATGAGCCAGGCCAGACCCTGAGATCCTGGCGACACCTTTTTGTCCAAGCCGGGAATGTTCGCATAATTTCGGGCCCCGGGGCCCTCACAGATCGATCCGGCTCGAACAATGGCGCAGAAAGATTGTGTCTAGGGCTCCATGCTGGATTTTTCACCGCGTTTCCATGATTTTTGAGGCGTCGGATCTCAGGGGACGCAGGGAAGGCTACAGCCCTGGTGAGGAGCGAAGGGCGCTGGATGAGGAGCGAAGGGGCTTGACCTGGCCACGAGAAACCTCGGCTTCGAAGAGGGTTCGCCGACTGATATCTGCCTCGGTGTCTCGCAACAGTGACCCTGGGCAAGATCTCTCAAGGGGCCCCAGGACACACAAATGAATATACACAAATCCAAATATTCCATATATTTTCCCATACTTTCTGTGTTTTTGTCTTCCCCCCCACCTCCCACATCCCATATTCTCCGGGGAATCGACGATCAATTATGTCTGTGTGTTTTTTTCCCCTCCTGAGTGACCCTGGGCAAGATTGAGGGGGCCGCGGGGTGGCCAAACCCCTGTGGGCCCGCACCAAAGGTCACACCGGAAAAGGGCCACTTTTGGAACACCCGTCTGGCCCACTTGACCCGGGCAAGCCCAGCCATAATACAGTCATCGACCTGACCTTCGGAACGGTAAATAAGAAACGAAGCCCCTTCTTACCCAAGGGAAAAATAACGCGTCAGGAACGGTAAGTAATACATAACACATCAGGAACAAAAAATAACGCATGCAAGCCTAAAGAACGACCGAGCCCCTTTTGAAAACCAAGTGTTCCTTATTCAAGCCGCTCACTGTAAACCCAATTGGATAGTCTTAGGGCATCGTCTTGGACCGCTTCACGAGCATAGTTGAGCCCTCTTGTGCCGCCTCGGAGCCCTCTGAGTATCCCTTGCCGACATGGTGGGCCGAAGACCAGAAAACAAGTGAATATGAATACGAAACTGCAGGTCTTGGCTATATCAGGCCTCGTGCTGCCTACGAGAGCCTCCCTTGAAACTCTTCAAGGCCCTTTGAGCCTCGCGGTCAAAATTGAAGTCGATTGGAAGTAGACTTGGCCATCGGAAGAGCCTCCTCGAGCAACAGTTGGCCGTCTTGGAGCCGTCTCGGTGCACTATCTGGGCATCTTAGAGGCTCCAATATGACCCACTATAGCTCCACAAAAAAACTCTAAGATGGCCCACGAAAAAGCCCAGGAGGACACAGGGTTGCCAAGACAGGCAATGGGATGGCCTCAAGAAGCCCCGATACAAGATAACTCCAAGATAGCCCCAAGCGGCCGCAAGAGGCTCCAAGTTGGCTCCGCGAAGGCCATCGAGAGACGAGAATTCAGAATTCACAAGCATCTGAGCGCACAACATTGCGTAGATTGGCATTCATCGCTTCCGAATCGGACGGACCTGAGATTGGCGCCACGGGCCTCCGAGACGGTCCCAGATGCCGCGCAGAGACCCCCGAAACCAAATCCGCAGCTAACCTCGAAAACGCCCCAAGACCGCCGCGAGAAGGACCCGAGATGCTCCCACTGGACCCCAAGGTGCAAGACGCTCTTAAACGACCCCCTGACCATCCAGGGATGCCGAGACGGCGCCAAAAGGCTCCAACACGCAACAGCGAAGCGCGGGCAGGCATGCTGGCAGCCGCGCGATGCCGCACGCGGGCGCAGCCTCCTTGGGACCCTCCGGAGGCGCCCCCGCATGGAGCCACGGACCGCGCGAGAGGTGCGCTCTCACATGAGAGAGGCGGGGACGCGTCGAGGCGCAGCCTCTGGGGCCTTCTTCCCTGCGGGGCCACGCAGCGCGCGCAGGGGTGTGCCAGCACCAAAGGCGGGGGCGGGCAGGGGCGCAGCCTCCTCCTCCTCCTCCTCCTCCTCCTCCTCCTCCTCCTCCTCCTCCTCCTCCTCCTCCTCCTCCTCCTCCTCCTCCTCCTCCTCCTCCTCCTCCCCCCTCCCCCCTCCTCCTCGCTCCTCCTCCCTCCTCCTCCCTCCCCAGGCAGCCTTGGAGCGTGCGAGGGGTGCCGAGAGGGGAGGCGGGGGACGCATGCGCACTCTGGCCGCTGGGGTATCTGGTGGGAACCCCCATAGGGGCCGCGAAGCGTGGGAGATTTTTCCGCCAACGTGAAAGGGCGGGGATGCGCAGGGGCGCCGCCTCTGGGGCCTCCAGTTGGGCCCCCGTAGGGGGCCACGGAGGCGTGCGAGGGGTGTGCCGAGACGGGTGGAGGGCGGCGCCAAGCAGACTGGAGGAGGGAGAGGAGGGGGAGGGGGAGGGAGGAGAAGGGCGCGGGCCGCTGCCGACTCAGAACGCGGGGCGGAGGGCAGAGGCGAGGAAGGGGTTTTCAAAAAAAAACCCGGATTGCAAAGAAAACCCTTTTTCGAAGGACTGCAAACAACAACCAGGGTTTTGTTTTGCAATCCTTCGTTCAAGGAAGGGTTTTTGTTGCAATCCTTCGTGGAAGGGTTTTTTTTTGTTTTGCAATCCTTCGTTCGGGGGAGGGGGGTCCGCGCGGAGCTCCCAAGGGAGCCGGGAAGGGCTGCCAGAGGCGCCGAGGAGGCCCCCGCGTCAGCACGGCACGGCGCGCGGGCGTGCGGGGCTATTGCCGCTCTGGTGGGAGGGGGGCCCGCCGTGCTCCTGCCCGCAGGCCCCGTCTGCTGGAAGGGGCCCCAGGACACACGAATAAATGCACACAAATAAGCATATTTCCCTAGATTTGCCCACGTTTCCTGTTTTTTTTTGTCTTCCCCACCACTTCCCATAGTTTCCCATGTTTTCCTGGGGGTCGCCGATGAATTGTGTCTGTGTGTGTTTTTCCCTCATGATCTGCTCCGGGGCACCCGTCCTCCACCCTGGGAACGGGGCACGGCAGGCTCGTGTCGTGTCGACGCGGGCGTTGGTTCCTGACACCCCGGGGATCGTTTAACCTTGAACGATCGGCCGTTTACGCAACGTCCGATCGTTCAACTTGGCGGCGCGCACGGGGGGGTGGGGGGAGGGGGGAGGGCTTCTCAGAAGCGCCTTGCTCCTTAGAAGGAGCTGGCCCTGTATCTACAGATAAGGCCCGCGCCTTCTAAGAAGCAGGGGAGCTTCTAAGAAGCCATCCCCCTTCCCCCCAGCCCCCTCTGCGCGTGGCTGAATCGACCGATTCTGGGCCGCCACCAGCGTTCAACGCTGAACGCCGGCGGCGGGGTCGCCGCCGGTCGACACGGCACGAACCGACCGCACGACCATTATTCGCGACTCCGCTGCACCATGGTCTCTGTGACAGAGGAGAACGTAGCAGAAGGGTCTGCTGCGTCCGCCGCGGTCTCGTCGAAGTCCTCCATGGACAAGATCACGCCCTGCATGATGATGATCGTGAACATGTACAGAAGGAACACGATCAGGACTAAGGCCCAAAACACGGCGACAAGCGAGTGAACCATGCAATAGACCATCACCTTGACATCTTTCAAAAACTCCAAGAATCTGAAGAGACGAAAGATCTTCGATATCTTGAAGAGTCGGAGAGACCGGATGAAAGCAACATTGACCGCACCAGTCATAACCGTAAGCTGCACTGCGGAAAACGCCACGAGGACGAAATCAAAAATATTCCAGGTCCAATCTGGCCCAGCAAAAAAATATTTCCCCTGCGCTGCGATCTTCATTACCAGTTCTAGGGCATACCAGCATATGAAGACATACTCACCATACACCATCCAGTCGGTAGATGACCCAAGATGTTGCATCTCGTAGTCCGTGGAAAATGTGATCAAGACCGCATTCAATGAGATCATCAGCACGCAGGCGGCGTTAAATCCGCTGGCCATGCGGCTCCTCCAAGGGTGCCAACACGCGCGCGGCTTTCTCACTCTCCATGCTTACCCTTCCAAGGAGATCCCACGGCAAACATAGTGTTTGGAGCCCCGAATCATAACGGGTATCTCGGGTCAGGGCTAACTCGGGTTCGTTTTTCGGGAATCCGAACCCGACTTACCCCGGACCCGCGTTACCCCGGATAACTCGGGCGCCCAATCGTGTGAAAGTTGTCCGTTCCACTGCGGCCCATCCGATCCACCCGCCTCGCCGCCCCATCTCCGCCCTGCCGCTGGAGCCTCTTCCTCATGCTTGGCGGGAATCCTCAAGCCCACCCCGAGCAAGAACCCAATGGCCCTGGTCTCAAAACCCCAAGAGGAACGATTCCGCTTCATTTCGCCCGAAATTCGTTTCGTCCACTTCACTTCGTCCGAATCTCTTTTTGTCCGCTTCACTTCGTCCGCTTCGAGTCGTCGGCTTCGACTTGTCCAGTGTCGATCCGTCTGAGATTCGAAAGCGGGCGAAACGACAGAAGGCCGAAAACGACAGAGGACGGATCGAAAGAGGACGAAACGAAAGCAGACGGAATGAAAGTCCACCCCCGGGGATAAGCTTAGGTCGGGCATGTCCCCCTACAGGCGGATTTGGGACGAAAGAATTTAAAAACAAATCAGAAAAGCAAAATTTAAAACTATGTTTGACTATGTTTGAATGTTCTTCCTGTAGAGGGACAGGCCCGACTTCAGGACAAGCTGAAACCCCGCGCGGCGTCGACCAGCCAACCTTGGCAACACGGACGCACGGGGCACCCCACTTGGGGCCGTGAGGTGCGCGGACAGAACCAGAGTCGCGCACACGGCAGGGTTTTCGTGTCGTGTCGACCCCGGCGTTTGATGGGCCTGTTTTCCACCACCACCACCATAAGTCGGAGGGGGAGGAGGAGGAGGAGGAGGAGAAGGAGGAGGAGCAGGAGGAGGAGGAGCAGGAGGAGGAGGAGGAGGACGAAGAGGAGGAGGAGGAGGAGGAGGAGGACGAAGAGGAGGAGGAGGGCCCCCTCCCCCTCCAACTTATGGTGGTGGTGATGGAAAACAGGGCCATCAGGCATTGGCTCCTGACACCGCGGAACCTGTTCAACCTGGAACGATTGGCCGTTTCCGGCACGTCCGATCGTTCAACATCGACTGATTCTGATAGAAGAAGGAAAGACGCCATAAACATAAACTTTGAGCGCTCCGCGCGATCTTCCTGGATCTGATTTGGACCACCCTCCCCAGGGCGCGGAGCGCGCCAGGGGCGGCGCCGGAGGCGCCGCTGGGGGGCGCAGCGCGGATCCAAGAAATCCGCGCGGAAGGCCAAAAATGTGGATTTATGGTTTGAGCAGGAAACGACCGTCCCGGCATACGACATGTTCTTCGAACCCAAAAATGTCCTGCGAAGAACAACACAGGTTCTTAGAACATGAACCCGATGCGCTGGAACAAGACAGCCCCAGCCAGAAATGTTCTGAGAGCATCTCGTGCAGACCACCAGAGGTTCTTAGAGTACTCCTTGGTGGGCTGATAGGCCAGCAAGGACGCTTCGCCACTGCTTGATCGGGGGCGTCCAAGAGGGGGGTGTCCAAGAGGGGTGTGCGGAAATCATGGCCGGCGGCACGTGCGCGGCCCAGGGGGGGGGGCCCGGGACGCAATGAAACAAGAGGAGGCGCCCTGAAATCTGGGGAAATATCCTGGCCCCCGCCATGATATCCCCCCCCCTGGTCATCACCCCTCTCATTGCCGCCCCCGAAATTTTCCAGCGCAACTATTTTTGGAGAGGGGGAGAGATCGTCGGTGGACAAAGCTTCATTTAGTCTCCCAATCAGTGCTTGCACTGAAGGGGTCCTGGCGGAATTGGAAGATTTGGCGAAAATTATCCGCCGATTTTTGTAGCCAGCTGGGTTCCCGGGTTCCCGGGTTCCAGATTCCCGGGTTCCTGGTTGTTGGTTCCAGGCCGATTTTGGTGGCCGGGTTCTGGGTTCCCGGGCTCCCGGGAACCTGGTCGGTCTCCTCAGCGAAAACCATCCACTGATTGGGATGTTCCTCTGATGTAACTTTTTTCCGGCGCCACCATTTTTGGAGAGGGGCAGCGATCGGCGGTAGACAAACCTCCCTTCAGTAAACCTCCCTTTGGTGAAGACGGCCTAGGACCGAAACCGACGGATACGACTCGTCGCACTCGGTGCACTCTGCGACTCCAGCTGAAAGCGCACGAGCCGAAATGAACATGTGGAACAAAGCTGACTGTGCAAACTGCTGTCCCTCACTGTTAAGTCAGTCGGTGGTGGAGAGATCGTCGGTGGACAAAGCTTCATTTAGTTTCCCAATCAGTGCTTGCACTGATTGGGTCCTGGCGGAATTGCCCTCTCATTGCCGCCCCCGCCTTGAGTGGTGTGTCTTCTCCTTCGATCTGGGTCGCCGGCGGCGTTCAGTGCGGAACGCCGGCGGCGGGGCCGCCGCCGGCCGCCGCGGCGCGAGCGCGAGCCTATATATGAAGGAGCCCCAGGACACACACATAGATACACACAAAGAAAAGGACTCCCCCTCTATTTTCCCATATTTTTTCTGGGTTTCTGTCTCCCCCCCACACTTCGCATAGTTTCCCATATCTTCTGGGGAATCGAAGATGCATTGCGTCTGTGTGTGTGTGTGTGTGTGTGTGTTTTTTCCTCCTCTGGCATATACCCGTGCGGCAGGCTCGCGCCGTGGCGACGGCGCGCAGGCAGCGGCGGGGGCGCGCAGGGGCACGCCCGGGGATGCTGCTGCCCCTCACTGCTGCGCTTCGTCTCGGGCGCAGCGGGGAGGAGGAGGAGGAGGAGGAGGAGGAGGAGGAGGAGGAAGGAGGAGGAGGAGGAGGAGGAGGAGGGGGAGGAGGAGGAGGGGGAGGAGGAGGAGGAGGAGGAGGAGGAGGAGGAGGAGGGGAGGAGGAGGAGGAGGAGGAGGAGGGGGGGGGAGATCGGCGAGCCAGGGCCTCAGTGCACTGTGGGCCCTGGCAACGACAGGGCCATTTTTGTTACCGGTTCCGTTGTGCCGTGCTTTCGCCGGTTCCGACGCCGTTTCTTTACCCGTTCCGTCGCCGTTGTTTGACCGGTTCCGGCTCCGGTTCCAATCCTGGAGCCGTTTTTGTCCCGTTTCCGGTCGCCGTTTGTTTCCCGTTTCCAGTTTCAAGAAACATTTTTCTGTTAAACGGTGAAAAAACGGCCCTGCCGTTTCCGGGGCCCACAAAGGCCAGGACGCGTCGCCACTGCCTGATCGGGGGCGTCCAAGAGGGGGGCGTCCAAGAGGGGGGGTGTAAATGATGGCCGGCGGCACGTGCGCGGCCCCAGGGGGGGGGGCCCGGGACGCAATGAAACAAGAGGAGGCGCCCTGAAATCTGGGGAAATATCCTGGCCCCCGCCATGATATCCCCCCCCCCCTGGTCATCACCCCTCTCATTGCCGCCCCCGAAATTTTCCAGCGCAACTATTTTTGGAGAGGGGGAGAGATCGTCGGTGGACAAAGCTTCATTTAGTTTCCCAATCAGTGCTTGCACTGAAGGGGTCCTGGCGGAATTGGAAGATTTGGCGAAAATTATCCGCCGATTTTTGTAGCCAGCTGGGTTCCCGGATTCCTGGGTTCCAGATTCCCGGGTTCCCGGTTGTTGGTTCCAGGCCGATTTTGGTGGCCGGATTCTGGGTTCCCGGGCCCCCGGGAACCTGGTCGATCTCCTCAGCGAAAACCATCCACTGATTGGGATGTTTCTCTGATGTAACTTTTTTCCGGCGCAACCATTTTTGGAGAGGGGCAGCGATCGGCGGTAGACAAACCTCCCTTTAGTAAACCTCCCTTTGGTGAAGACGGCCTAGGACCGAAACCGACGGATACGACTCTTCGCACTCGGTGCACTCTGCGACTCCAGCTGAAAACGCACGAGCCGAAATGAACATGTGGAAAAAAGCTGACTGTGCAAACTGCTGTCCCTCACTGTTAAGTCAGTCGGGCATGTCCCGGCATATCCCAAAGCAGATCAGAAACATACGCTGGGGACACTGCTCTTTTGGAATCTGTTTTGACTACTTCTGGTTTCTACTACAAAATCCGCCCGGCCTACCACCTGACCTGCCTAACCTGCCTGCCGCCTTCCGACTATCGTCGACTACACGCGGAGTGGCCCTGGGCAAGAGTGACCTTTGGTGCGCAGCTTTTGGGGGGCCGCGGGGGGACCAAACCTGGGCGCGCAAGCAACTGCTGCTGCCTCGTTTTCAGCCATCTGGGGACCCATCTGCGCCCGTACCAAAAGGTCACTCTGGCGAAAGGTCACTTTCACGCCTAGTCAATATCGGAAGACATGACCGACCTGACCTCCCTCGCTGAGTCACGTATGCCGGCCGGCCGCGCGCAAGGAGGGCGGTGGCGGCACGCGCTCGCGCGCCAAGGGCCCCCCCCCCGCGGACATGATCGCGTCTTAAAAAAAATCAGGACGGAGGGCTCTTGGCCAATTTCGGCCTCGGGGGGCCCTCGCCGGGCCTCGGGACCGTCAAAAAACAACTCGGGATTGAAAACCAGTACCGGGGGAAGGGCCGGGATTTCTGGGGACGCCGTCCTGAAAAAATCAGGACGTCGCATGTCTGTGCCCCCCCCTCCCCCGCCAGGGGCTTCCAGAGGCGCCCAGAGATCCTCGATCCCCCCGTCGAATCTCGATCTCCAGAGGATCGAGGGAGGTGGTGGCCCCCCGGTTCGGCGGCGGGGCAGGAGGGAAGGAGAAGGCCTTCTCGGAAGACGCAGAAAGAGTCCCCCAGCCTTCTGAGAAGTCTTCTCGGCCTTCCTGGAAGACGCTGAGAACTTCTCACGAGGCGCGAGGGGCTTCTGAGAAGTCCTGCCGCCTTCTGAGACGGCCTTCTCCTTCTCATTCCCCCCCCTCGCTCGCCGCCGACTGGTGTCGGGGGGCGCCAGCCGACCCCCTCACCTATACCGATCCAGGCTGGGCGTAGGTCGGGCACGTCCCCCTACAGGCGGACTTTGAACGAAACATACAAATTACACAGAAAACATACACCAATCACGTGCGCAGAAATCATCAACACATCGTCCCCTGACTATGTGTGAGTGTCCCTCCCGTAGAGAAGCGTGCCCGACTGACACCTACCGATCCTGGCGGGGCCCGAGATCTGGGCCCCAGCCAGGGTCGGCGCGGTGGCGGCCGAGCACTCCCACCGCCGCGACCTCTCTGCGCAGCGCTCGGGCAGGGCCCCTGCGCAGCGCTCGAGCAGGCGATTTACGCCCACACGGATCCGGTCGTCGAGCCTGCGAGGCACACGCGCAGAATGCTGGGTAGATCTACGGAGCGCTCTGCGTATTGTCTATACAGTCGGGGCGTTGACCTAAGGAACCCTAAACAAGGAACGAGGCCCCTTTTTTCCATGAGATAACCCTCGATTTCGTGTCGAAAACCTAAGGAAAGCCTTTGGCAAGCTGTGAAACACTCAAGGAACGCGGAGCCCCTCCACAACGAAAAGGGTTCCTTCTTCAGGGCCCCGACTGTAGACTCGGCGAACACGGCAGATTCTGGGGCACACCGATCCTCGGATCGGTCCCCTGCTCGACACGCGGACCCTGGGAAGCCCCGGGCCCTCCCCCAGGCCTGGCCACCCCTCCCGGAGCGTTGCCCGGCGGTCCCGCGAGCAGGTCGAGGGTCCCCCCCCCCACTAATCACCAGGAGAGCCCACTCTGTGAATAGAACTTGTCTCAAGCGCCAGGCGAAAAGTTCAGTAACGTTATCGTCCTCTGGCGGACTCCGGCTGAACCCTGAAAAAGGCTGCGGAGCAGGGAACAAGACTCTGGCGAGAAACCCCCCACGTGACTCCGCGGCTGCATGAAGGCGGCCCCCCCCATCACCAGGAGAGCCCAGGGTCGAATCGACAAGAAAGTCGGATCAGCGATCGAGGTGAACCGGATCGGCGGACAATCACCAGCCGAGTCGGGAAAAGTCGACTCTGCGGACATCGGAAGGCCAGTACGCCTCCAGTAAGGAATCGGGACCAAGATCGGAATCCCAGGTCGAAGCGAATCGGAAACGGAGGCCATCGAAATCGAACCGAATCAAATCGGAGGAATCGAAATGAGACCCGAATCTTGGCGGCGCGCACAAGGAGGTGGAGGGAGGGGGGAGGGCTTCTTAGAAGAAGGCTGCTTCTTAGAGGGAGCTGGCGCCAAATCTGCAGACGAAGCCCGCGCCTTCTAAGAAGCAGAGGTGCCTTCAAGAAGCCTTCCCCCCCTTCCCTCCACCCCCTTCCGCGCGTGGCTGAGAACCGCTGATAAAGGGCCACGGGAACGTCCGCCCGCCGCGACGGCTCCCGCGCGCGGGGAGGCCTGGGCCCCTCCGCGTGCAGACGACCGCGGTCGACTACGTACTCGCAGAGGAGCTGCTCGCAAATGGCCTGGACCCGCCAGGTGGGATGCACGATACACCCTGCGAAATGCTTAAGAAATCATGGGTTAAGAAATTCATAGTCTCAGAACTTGAATAAAAACCCAAAAGTTCTATTCAAATCTTGGGATTTACATTGAAACATTAAGAATAATCGAGACTCTGGCCGAACATTTAAGTTTTCTTAAGCATCGCCTAAGGTGTACCTCACACCGAAACGACATGTGTTCCTTTTGTTTTCTGTCTCACGTTTGCGAGTAGGCACTTTGCGGGTAGTGAAGCCGGGCGTTTCCCCGTGCACAGGGATTTTGGGCGAAAAATGAAAAAAAAACTCAAGACATGCTCCCCAGTGTTCCAACACAGTAACCCCAAAAAACGTCCCCAGGCTACTCTTCCTACGTTTGAATATTCCCCCCTGTAGAGGCACAGGCCCGACTTCACAGGCGATTTCCCCTATCTTTGAATACCCGGCTTTCACAGGCCCGACTTCA